TATTTTATACCTAGTATCTTGAAACTTGTCTTAAATATGGCTAATTTTATGTTCAATTTACTTCATTTTTTAAATGGAACACCCTGTATATTATTTTATCATAAACTTTTTATAAATTTACCTATCCAACGATAGCAACAGATTAGGCAATTAATTATTTATCAGTGATCGATAGCTGTTTTATTATTGGAGTTGCGAAGAAATTTGTTGGACGATATTTTACAATTCTTAAATATACAGGGTAGTTCATAAATGAAGGGCAAACCAAACTTACAATTTTTTTGATTAAACAATCTGATTTGGTTTTCACATCATTAAACAATTTTAATAGACTTGTGTTTTCTATTTTCATTAATTTGCTATTACGTATACAGGGTGTTTCAGATTTAAACGGACAGCTTAATGAGAGGTAGAGTACACTTAGATGAGCTCAAAACACCCCCATACTTAGCCTTTATTCTTACTCGTTTCTGAGGTATAGGGTGTTTTATGATTTTTTGCCAAACTAAAATCGGCCATTTTGTTTGAACGGCTAGAGATATTTTGATAAAATTTTGTACAAAAGTTACACTCTCCTAGATTAATCTAAACTATAATTTAATATTAAAAAATTCCATGATCGGACTCTTTTTTTTTATATTGCTCTTCTTAGCTAGTATATCACCCTGTATATAGGATTTTAATAAATGTTACTGCATATTTAAATAGTACGTGGATCAATAAATAAATTAATGTAATAATATTTAATGGCACCATCTTGATTTTCTTACAGTAAATTTTTATAATGGCGACTACAACATTATAAATCAGTATTTTCAAAATTGAAATCAAATATTTTTTCTGTTTTTTTAAAACTCTGCACAAATTAGGTACCATCTTCATTTATTTTTAACAACTGCATTTTACAATAAGAAACTGAACATCTACACAGGACCAGGCTCACTTTATTTGATAAAGTAACAGAACAAACTAACAGAAACAAATACTTAATTAAAACTAAAATAGATTTTCAAAATGAACACCGTGAACGTCAATACACCTCTACGAACGTTTTAACAGGTTTTCACTGATTTGTCAATTATTTCCGGTTTATTTCTAATGTTGTTACATACATTATTAATTTTTTCCAATAACTGTGCTCGGGTATTCATTTCTTCGTTGTATACCTCTGATTTAAGGTAGCCCCATAAAAAAATATACCAGAGGTGTTAGATCTGGAGATCTTGGTGGCCAATTGACGGAACCGCCTCGACCTATCCATCTATTTGGTAAACGATGATTTAAATGGTCTCTGACCAGTATTTGAAAATGAGATCCAGCACCATCGTGTTGAAACACCACATTCCTCTGGTATTAATCCCTTCTAACAAATTTGGCAGGATGTATCTAAGAAAATTTAAATAAACTTCAGCGTTAATTTGCCTTCAAAAACATGAGGGCCTATTAAATGATTTTTATAAATACCACACTATACATTTATAGAAAATATTTATTGGAAATGTTTTTGTGATACAGTGTGAGGATTTTCAGTTGCCCAATTATGACCATTCCTAGTGTTATTGATACCATCACGTATAAATTCTCGATATTGTCCTTCTGTGGGCCAAAGTCCGTCTACAAAAAGATAAACGGGGTACGTCGTCTCCGTGTTCAAGTACATGAAATGGATGCAAATTTTCTTTTTTTAAAGTTTTCCATACTCTTGTTATCGGTACTGCCAATTCATTACTAATTCTTCTTACACTGATAGAAGGATTATTTCGAGCTATCTGTAAAATCTCCTTTTCTTGTCGAAGATTATTTCTCGGAGCATGTTCATGTTTTACTGTAGTTGGAAACTTTCCATGTTGCTTACTGAATTCTAAAACTTGCGAAAATGTCTTAGAATCTGGTAAACGGCGATTAGGAAAGCGTCTGCAATATTCTCCTACTGCTGCTCCACCGTTTCCGTTACAAAAATCGAACACAAAAATAATGTCTGCATATTCTTTAATACTAAATTGAAACGGAATCCTAAAATACTTATTTCCATGCCATTAGAAACTTGCACTTATGAACAAAAGTAAAGTAACTCCAAATACTGTACATAAAATAAATGATATTATTTGACACAAGCCTACTGGTATTATACAATTTTACATTAATCATATTTAGGACGGAATGAGTGATGGTGTAATTTGGCGCATATTGGCAGTTGACTAAATTGAGTTTTCAGCTCGTTTATAAAAATACCTAGTTTTTTGAACTTTTAAATTTGATTTCATCAGGGTTTTAGTTCGTTTTAATTTCCAAATATAATTTAAAGATGAACCTGGAGAGAGGAATTAATTAGGTGAATTAGAATGAATAAGCAGTACCTAGGTACCAGAAACAAGTGTATGGAGAACTTTAAAAAAAATAAATTTGTATCTTTTTTATGTACAAAAAGTACAGCGACTTGAACACACATAAAATGTTTGGTGTGGAATTTATAAAAAATCACTTAATACTCAAGGACAGTTATTGAAAAAAATTAACAATGTATGTAACAACAATAGAAATAAACCGAAAATAATTGACAAATCAGTGAAAAACCTATTAGTGTAACTTTTGTACAAAATTTTATCAAAATATCTGTAGCCGTTCAAACAAAATGGCCGATTTTAGTTCTGGCAAATATCTCAGAAACGAGTAAGACTAAAGGCTAAGTATGAGGGTGTTTTGAACTCAGCTAAGTGTACTCTACCTCCAATTAAACTGTGTCCGTTTAAATCTGAAACACCCTGTATAGCGTGTACCTAAATGAGAGAATACGATTTTTTAAATAAAATACACTGTATGTTATACCACCAATTTAAAAATTATTTTTTTTATTTTTTGTTTGGCATTGCCTATACCTAAGCGAATTTTTTCTAAAGATTTTTATCGTTTTATTATAAAAATTAATATTTTTCTAATTATAATTGGCTTTAGAGACCTTTTGGTCAGTTACAAAACTACAAATAGGTAGGTCTAATTGACATTTATTTTTTTTTTTTTTAAATAAAACAATTCTATTTTCAATTTAATTCTTCTGAAAATAAAAATGTTTTGTGATCTTTTTATCATCATTAAATCTAGGTTACAGAGTTTAAAATATCTAGATAATTACAGGTAAAACTTTATGACAATTAAAAACAAAAGAAGATACGCCTAAAATTTTTGTTACATTATTCAGAAATAATGAATGGCTTTTTGTTCTCCCGACGTCCCAAAAATGTGTTTTGCTATAACGATTGTAAAATAAATAAAATTAAAGAAATTGAAAAAATCCTTATTTTGAGTTTTTGACACACATTGTATACAACATTGCAAATGAATGAAGTCTATTAAAATTGTTTGACAATGTTTAATATATCAAATATTTGTAACTATCTACACGTTGTTTTGTTTTAAAAAGTATAAGTTTGGTCAGCTCCTTGTTTATGAACCACCCTGTATATTTAAGAATAATTGTTAAATATGGTTACACAACTTTTATATTAAAAATATCTTCATTTTTTGAATATTAAAACGGGAATCAATTAATTATGCACTGATGGGACACCCTGTATATGTATAATTGCTTAAGTTGTTGCTACAATTTGTAAATCATTGCAAACCTACCTAAATTATGATAATTTAATTTGGGGTTTGAATCATTCTCTAGCTTGGTAAACCTCTTATATGTTGTATAAACATTCTAGGTTTGAATACAGGATGTTTTATTTAAAAAAATTACATTTTTATTTGCTAGGCAAAAATGTAACACCCTGTATATTATTTTTAAAATCCATGTAACTTTTATTCGAAACTTGTTTGTGTGTCTATAACATAAATACGCCATTTTAGTGTGATGTCATTTTGATTCCACTGACATTTAATTCTAACCAAACTCTTAACAAAAACATTAATAAATTTGACATATTCGTTTTTACTATTTTAAGTTTTTTTCTAAATATTGTTTGCAGGTCATAAAAAATAGTTTAAAGGTATGTAATTGGTAACTTAACGATTGTATATTTGATGTATGTTATCTACTTACTTTAGGAATATATTTATAAAGGTGAAAAAACGATATAATTTACTGTCACTTTAATTGTCAGTGGAACCATAATTACATCATCACTAAAATGGCGTATTATTGAACTATCGAGCAATTAAGCACTGATAGGACACCCTGTATAAAGGTATCAGGTAGTCAGGGCCGCCTTATGCAAGCCACCTAAAAAAGAAATATTTTGTTTTTATTAAGTTCATATTTAGTTTATCTTATTTTCCTATCGCTAGTTCAAGCTCTAATTAATTAAAATTGATATATTAAATTATTTAATAAAAACAACTATTTGATCTGTAATACCTAATAAATAATTACTTGTACAATAGTAGTTAATATTGTAGAAATTATCATGATAATAACACATTTGAGATTCCTTCCATTTATTTGTAGTATTTGAAGACCATTTTTAGCGTCGTTTTTCATAAATTTAGCTATATTAGTTATATCTGTTTCACTAAGTGAAAATGTATTTTCTTTAGGCATTTTGGCTAATTGAGCAGTTATAACACTTCTGAAAAAATCGAACGAATCATAGTCGTAACCTAACTTCGCCCTAACTTATTCTGCAACTTCCAAAGTATTAAAAAAGGAAAATAATTTCAACTCAAATATGATCAAGACGTAAAATAAAAAAAAACAACGCCATATGTCCTTTGGATACAATTCAATACCTGTTGCGGTATTAACCAAAGAGGTAGGTGTTTTCTGAAGGAAAGCAGTTCTCGACTTTTTTATTTTATTTTACCAAAGTATTGTTCAACTTCGTTATAGCTAGAGGGGTATATTTAACTACTTGATTATTCACCACGTACATCTTGTATTCTACTAGTCAACTGATTCTTGGAAACTCGCTGTAATGTTTTATAAAACCTATAATACGAATTTTTCTTCGGAATCTGTATTTTAATTTCAACATTTTACAGGTTCGTTTTTCTTTTTTCAGATGAAAATGCGTGGCTCCTATCCATAAAATAAAAAATCCTGCTAAACCGGAAACTTAATCGATTTTTCCACGATCGATTACCAATCCGCCTACCGAGAGAGCGAGCGAGCGAGCGAGAGAGAGAAAGCGCACTGCTTTAATTCCAATGATGTGAAATTCCACTCGGTTACTGATTGACATTCCACATGATGGCCGCCGATTTCGCCTTCCGAGGGAGGCGCGGGACCAGGGCGGCCCGATCGGCCAGGGAACACATCAACCTTAATTACATAATTTATTTATGTTATATACTGTATATATTACATACCTTTACATATGTACTAATTGTCTTTGAAGTTGTACACAACAAGAGGTAAACGATATTTTTTTGTTTTCGCTGACAGGGAACAGTACATTTGACCCTTTCTTTACAGACTGTTATAAATGCTACAGTGCTACCATTTTCAACCTTTTTAATTCGCCATTAGGCCTACTGTCGCATAGTTACGACACATAGTATCATCATATATTAATAAACATCAACTCAGTGCAAACTCTAAAGCTTAATTTATAACCGCCGTAACGTAACTTAAGAACTTAACGTAAGAAGTTGAAATATTGAATTTACGTATACTTATTTATAATGTTCGTAACGTAACTTAAGAACTTAACGTTCCGTAGAAAGTTCGCCAACTTTTAACTTAACTTAAGACCTTACGGTTAGCCAATGAGATAATTCTGAGTTCAGCATGTGATAACTGTCAATTATTCTCTTTTTATTTTATTTTTATAAATGAATAGACAAATACCATTTGTAAACTATCATTCTCCTTTTTGATGGACATACATTATCATGAATGATTTGTGTTTATGTTATTGGGGATAAACTATTTATGAGATATGAGTGTTGCTGCATATACCTATAAACATCAAGTCTAGAACTGAAATAAGACACAAAACTAGTTTGCTAGGAAAGATTAAATTCTCATTATTGCTCAAAACAATCAACATCTTCGGTAAACTATTCTGTGTTATTATATTTTTATATTATTGCTTTTAAAGTAGTTAATATATTCTTTCTATATAGCAAAATCATAATTTATAAGTTTTATTTAGAGGTTAGGTACATAGTTAAACTTGTTTATTTCATAAGGTTGTCAGTAATTTGATAATCTCTGAAATCAACACGCATGCTCAACTCTACGTTACGGACATTTATAAATAGACTTTATTTTTATATCTTAGGTTAAGTTTCTACGGCGTTAAGTTACGTTACGGTGGTTATAAATTATACTTTAAACATAATCAAACAAACAAAAACGGACTCTTAAACATAATCAACAGTCAAATATTCTTAAAAATATATACTAAAACTTTATGACATGCAGAACCTGTCAATAAATTAAAGATTTTTCTTAAACTACTATATCAGTGAATATACTCGGCATTAGACTAGATACTGCACTACAGGAAGCAGCTGGAGAATTTAGAGGATAAATTGACATTTAGTTTGAGAGCGAACCAAGGTTTTTGTGGCCCGTTTGACCCAGCTAATTGCGCATGTAGATTCCTTACAACATTTAGCCCAAACGGCCGACAAAAATCTAACGAAATCGACCAATAGTACGAAGAGTAGTTCAAAATCGATCTTCTAAAACTCAACATCGAAGAAGTAGAAAACCGAATTAACATCTTGACACTTTGGTTTCGAAAAGAAATAAGTAACCTCAACTACAAGTTGTTTGACACTGAACAGAAGAAAATGTACCTGGACGGGGATCTTGAATGGTTGAGAGACTTCACTTGCGGGGTCGGCACTTCCTTGGACAATAGCCAAAATGCCCTCCAAGGGGTTTCTAAAGATCTGGCACAATTTGGAAATGAATTGTGGCTACTTAAAGAAAATGCAGGACGGATAGGTAAAGAATGGAATGTAAAAAATTACGCGCTGAATTGAGACAAATAAAATTAAAGAAACATATATTCATATAGCAGACTATTTAGAACTGAAAGAAGAAAATATTGCCTTACAAAAACAAGTTTTTGATGTGACGAGTTCGCAGGTTTAATTTGAGAGTTTATAACATGAAATAAGCAGGTTGCAAGAGAAAATTGATAAAAATGCAGAGGAACATATGGAAGAAGAAGGTTATTTTATGAATTGAAAAATTAAGATTTCTTTTTACTTTCATTAAAATACTTATTTTTTGTCTTTTTTATTAACTATACTTTATTAAAATGCCGCACTAAGGTGTCGAGGTGTTTAAAGGCATCAGAAAAATGCCGTATCAATAAGGCAAGGGGGCTGAAGAATGCTAAAATGTATGCCAGTGAGATCTAGAAATTATTCAGTGGTGAAAGTATATACAGGGTGTTAAAAAAAAGTGTCACAAAATAAAACGGGGGGTAGTATGAGCCAAAATATGCAGAAAAGTCTTAATAAACATATGTCCGCAAATGAATGGTTTCAGAGATACGGAGTGTTTTGTATCATTTTTTGATTATCTTTTTTCATTCTCAAAAACTTGCTTTTCTTATCGGAGTCTACCGATGTTTTTTCATAGATACTATTTGCAGTTATTATTTAGTTGTGGGTGAATCATTTTATAAATTTTCGTTATGCCTGTTTACACTAATATTGAATTAGCTGACATGCATTTTATGTACGGTCGTGCAAATGGCAATGCATTGAAATGGACGGAGGGCACTTTGAACATATCATTTAACTCTATGTTGTTATTGATTGTTTATAAATATCATTGTTTTTTTATAATAATAAAAATTTGTTATAAACACAAAATGGTCCGTATCTCCGAAACCGTTAATTTGCGGTCATATATTTATTAAGACTTTTCTGCTTATTTTGGGTCATACTATTCACCATTTCATTTTGTGACACTTTTTTTTAACACCCTGTATACAGCAGTGGGAACAATGGCAATGTAGATTCTGTCTGATATATCCGGCCTTAGTAAAGAAAGGGTTAATAGTCTTTAGTCAAATGTCAAATAAGTCAAAAGTTTATATTCAAACGTCAGATTTGCGTTTAAATCATAATTATATATGTTTGACACTTTTCCATAGGAAATTCTGGCTATTTTTGCATACCACAGAAATTATAGCAAAATTGTTGAACATTGACCAAAAAAATTTCAAATATATAAACGTTATTAAATGTACTGTTCTTTTTAAGGATATTTTTTTGAATAAAATCAAACAAATTCTCATCTTGAACCGGTTTTGTTTCATAATTAATACACACCACCGTCTTAATAAAAAAACACATTCCAGACTAATTATTCACGAGAATTTTGACAAAAGACTTTTTGTTATTTCTACACGATACTATCCCGTCTTACTTGTCACTTGTCAAAATGTCAATAACCGCATTTTTTTTGTGTAGAAAACAAGAATATATATTCCATAAATTTCAAGTTTAAAAAACTTAAAATAAGAGATCGATGGGTGTATTGGAAAAAATTATTGTTTTAATTATTCAAAATATTGCCTTACAGTTATAAACTGATAAAACTCAACGCTGTCGCCAAATCAGTTTTAATGTGACAGTCGTTGGACATTTTTTAAGATTAGGTAAATCCAATATCCATTTATTGGCATTGAAACTGTGATATGAATCGAAACTGCTGTAGTTTACCTAAACTCGAGTTTAAACTAGAATTTAGCCTGTTGGTTATTAAGTTTTTCTCTTGCTGTGCCATTATATAGGAGACAATCTGCATATACTGGGTGGTCTTTTTAAAAAGTAAACACTTAAAAAAGTTTTTATCTTATGGTCTAAGATCCGAAGTAAGGTCGACCTTCATCCATCTGTTTAATGCATGAAAGTTTCTTTTTATTAAATAAAATTTGTTTATAAATATACCGCAAATGGGTTGCTTAAGAAAATACAGTCATGACTATTTATTTTTTTAAAGTAAAAAAACGACACCGTGTAAAGTATTCCCCAGATTCTTCCACTAAGCCCAAAGTTTAATCAGCCCACCGCAGGATATATTAAAATTTAAGTTTAAAATTGGTGTTTTTTCTTCATCTGTTTTTGAGTTATATTCGAAATTTGCACTTTTCCTCAAATATCTCGAATTAGGTCCATTTTAAGGAAATCATGTGTATGGACAAAATAATAGAGATTGATGTCACAAGCAACTTTTATCATGATTCCTATACTTTCCTTATCTGTGTACAGAAAGGAAAGTAAAAAATGGCTGTGACCGTATTTTCTTAGGCAACCAATTTGCTGTATATTTAAAAACATATTTTATTTAATAAAAAGAAACTTTCATCCATTAAACAGATGGGTGAAGGTCGACCTTACTTACGAATCCTGTACTATTATTCTTTGCTGGAATTGTCACAATTTAGAGGGACAGTAAAGTGACATCTGTCAAAAATATCAAATTTTTAAAAGATCTACAAAATCCAGAGTGTTTATACTTAAAAATTCACAACCTGTATAGATATTAGTAGTTGTAATTATTTAATTGTAGATATGCTTAGGATCTAATTGATTTGTACATATTTTTGCCACTTAAGTCTTGACAAATTTAACATATATTTTCAACGCCATGGCGGTTACTTTCGATGAAAGTGATGGTCAGTTTAGTTTAGGTAAATATGACAATTATTAGAAAATGTTTAGTTAAATTGTAATCTATCTCAGATTTAGTTAATTTTGTAAATATATATATTTTTTTTTTTTCGTAAGGTTGACAGTTGCAATTGTGGGTAAGAACCTGTTTGACGTTTTGTACATTGAACTTGATGTAAATTAAAAAGAAATTGGCAATAAAACATATATTAAAGTTATAAAATGGGTTTTTAGGTTGACGACAGCTGTCTACGGATGTATGACAGCTGTCATGAGTTAAATTTTGTTATTTAAACAAAGCTATAGAGAAGAAAATTTTAGTAAATTTGTCTAGATGCTGAGTGTTGTTACTTAACTACCTGTACAGATTGTTTTGTGACAAATTCGCTATTATTTGTTATTCGAATGTTAGACATTTATTTTGTTGACTATTTCTATTATTTTTTGTTCGGCCATTTGCAGGGCTGAAAAAGGAATGTCGTGCTTTTAGATTTGCCTAAATGTTTTAAGAGAACGATTGAAATGCCTTAATTATTATATATTGTATAATGATGCAAAATACGATTTGCGTACTACTGAACATTTTCAGTCCATACTGTTTGGGATCTTTATTATATTATTAATTTTTTTTTGCTAACTGCTACTTTTTATATAAACAGTATGTGAATGAAAGCGGACTATAGCCATAAAAGAATTAAAGAATAACAATTAGATATTGTGTTTTTTTACCTACACCTCAATCCTATAATCAAAAACCTACTGACTAAATACACATCAAAATGATAAAATGTTTAAAACACCAATCCTTGAGTCGTAATTGAAGATGTTCAAATGGATTAATGTCCGGAAACTGCGCAGCCCTTGTGGACAGTAGAATTCTGCAGAAATTTACGTTAATAGGACTTATATTCATCCAAAACAAATTCGTGCTTTTATAAACTACTGTTCTTTCTTTTAAGATTTACTATTCATATTACTTCAAATAGAAAATTGAAATCACTGTACTTAACCATTGACCTTTATATGTTTTGTGCAGGCTTGGTTACCTTTTTCACCTCCATTTGGTTTAGTTTAGACAAATTTAGCTAAATGTAATTAGTACTTGGCCAGTTGTGTTCCGTACACGCTAAATTAGTGGTTCCAATAACAATTTTAGTGACAGTAGTTGTTAGTTCTTAAATAAATAAAGGGGACTCTATAAAAACATATTACATAAAAATTATTAACATAGACAAAAAACCGGTCAGCCCTATACAAAATTAAATATGTTACTGATCTTAATGTACAAAGAATCCAACGGTTCAGTAGCATCTGATGCGACCCGGTAACTTCTGGGTTTGCGCAGTGTTAGACCACCCAGTGAATTATCCAAGTAGACATTTAATTTCTTCTCTCTATTAATTTTTGAATTATTCTCTAAATTGACAAAACTATAGAACATGGCAGATATATCATCGTGCTCTTTGCACTCGTCTATCTTGAGCCATTTAGGTGTAATTCAAGTCCAAAAAGCCGTTCATTTTCAGTTATCTCGTTCTTTAGGAATCGAAGGCACCGAAACTTCCATTATTTCATTGATACCATCTTTTATAGGATGGCGATATGAAAAGTTTAAATCCATTTTTTATTCTTTGACCTGCCTTACCCAGATAGATACCTTCATAATTTGTTAATTTCATTTTATTAAAGAAAAGTTGCATTCCTATTAAATTCATAGCGTCTTCGATTCCACTGCCCTGCCTGTGTGGAGTGCACATAAAAGATGAGCGATATATCGATACCGGTTACATTTCAGATTGAAAAGTAACTGGTATTGACATATCTCCCACCTTTCGTATGCACTCAGTGCAAGCCGTGCACTAAATTCGAAGACGCTATAAGATGCCTTCATTAAACGAACAATTAATTATTATATTTACTGTATCTAAAATACCAATAACCCTGTTCGCAGAAGATCTAACTTTCGTGTGCATGTCTGGGAACCCAACTCGAAACTGTTCAATATGAATCTTTTAACAAAGGAATATTCATTACAAATAGAATTATTTCTTTGGCAAAGTAATAACGATGAATATAAAATTTTATGAATACGAAATCACAGCTCAAATATCATCCTCCACATAACTGCTATAAATACCAAATCTTGGAGAACTATTTGTTTATTAAGATTTCAAACTCAGTATTATATAAAATCCATTTCGATTCAATTATAGTCAAATTCAGCATTAAGTACCTCTCCTACCCGACGCCATTCCTACCCAATAACTTCTACATCCCAACAGCCTCTTCTATCCAACGTTTCTACGTCATCTCATATCCGAAGTTTTCACATTCCGACGCCCTCTTCTGCCCGAACAAATAATTAACTCCTTAATTCCCGCAATACAGCCTTCAGTTGTCACATCCAACCGGAAGAATCATAAATTAAAACTAATGGATTGGTGTTGCATTGATGCAGCAACGTTTGATAAAAAGACGTTATTAGTTCATCAGCAAGATACCGCACCGAATCCAACGTTGCTACAACAGTTGAATAAAAGGACACATGTCTAGCTAATGGTGAATGACAGTTTGGGCGCTAGACTCACATTTTATACAAATATGCTTGATGTTACAGCTGGATTCTGTTCTGTAGTACCGTATGTATCACTAGTGCTTATTGCAACCAGCTTTAAAAATTTATGGTTTCAAATTAAAGGAATTTGAACTAAAGAATCGGTACTGGAAGGAACTAAAGTAATCTATAGATAAAATGCATCACCAGTGATATGCAAAAGTATGTAAAAATCGTAGTTTAGTTTGGGTTGAATTAAATACAGTTACTGTTGTTTATAAACATGTATTTTAACACAAAAAAAACGCAATGTACTATCTATGGAGGGTAGAAAAAAGGAGGACAATCTTATATGGATCTTTATATTAAAAAGTGGCCACCAAAATGTATACAATTAAGATGGCGCTCGTGTAGCCAGGGGTAGTATTCTCGAATCACGAATACCGACATTCGCATACGTGTTTTACAATGTGTCTCACTCTGTTGAACGAAAATCAAGTGAGACAAATCATAAATCTCGCATGCGAATCTATAGTCGTGACTCGAGAATACTACCCTAGGGGCCCTATCCTCAGCTATCGTTTTCTAAAAAACGTATACGCTTTAGCAACATACGAGCTATTCGCTATTCTCGACATTCGTTTTAAAAGCGTGTACGCTTTTAAAACGGGTATTTTACAGCGAGCGGAATTTTTCACACGTTTTTGATAAAACGTGCATGTTTTCAAGGATTTAGTCAATGTCACTTATATGTCACTTTTAGGACGATTAATAATATTGATTGATTTTTACAAATTCTAGGTAAACTACTTTTTATTAATACCCACAAAAGTATCTAATTTCTTATAAATATGGTTTGCAGTACTAAAGAAGTCCATTAGCTGAGAATTTCTTTCAATTATATTATCAATAATTGTACAATTAGAAAACTTAGAAGATAAGAATCCTTAAAGATTCAGACTTGCAGAGGCAGAATCCAGTTTTTGATTTTAACTGAAATTGAATGAATATTTTTTATATCTTACCTTGTAAGAATTTAATTATTAATTTACGTATGTTTTATTTACAAATGTTAATTTGCTTGCGGTTCAAAGCTCTTCTGTATCACACGTTGTATCCAGAATTTTTTACAATTTTGTAAAATTGCCACAAAATATTAAACTGAATAAGATAAGCAAAGTTATTAGTTAAATGAATTTTTTACCATAAAAACTAGGTTTTTATGACGTACGATTTTCCTAGAATTATAGATTACATTAACTGCACCCGTATAGCTATTTTTACGCCAACAATTAACGATTCAGTTTATCCTGAACATCGATATATATTATGTGATTAGAAAAAATCATCGTTCGACAAATTTACAATTGGTTTGTTGCAGTGTTGCCAATAGGTGACGTATGAAAGTCTCAACTTTGCAAGTTGAAAATCGCTAGAAATCACCAAATAAAAAAAAAAACGACGCAGCGAGAAAACTGGCGACTTTTGCGTGTGACTACGAAAAATTCACTTTGATAAAAAAAAGAAAGTTCTCCTATTTTTTTTTTTTATTCATAATAAAGTTAGGTACAAAATAAAGGAACTTTTTAAAAAAATATAACGTGTATATTTATTAAATACACATATATATTTAATACACGTGCATATTTTTCAATAAATATCTAAAAAACAAAAATACAACTCTTCTAAAAACAAAATAATTTCTATTCAATAAATAAATAAATTAATTCTTCCTAATTAAATCCACGTAGGTACATTTTGTAATATAAAAATATGTTTCTTCAAAGATAAGCTAGCTGCAAATAAATTGAGTAATATCACAGGATAAAGAACAATATCTCTTAAATTATCGGTACCTGAGCTACCTATAACTAATAAATAATCAAAACGACATGCATGGTAACAAAATAAATATTTGGCAAATCCCGCTCAAGAAAATAAATGATGATTTTACAGAAGAATATTCTCTATATCAGCTATATTTTCTTTATCATCTTCAGCACTATACGCTGCCATTGTGCCAATATGCCTCAAAACTACGTCAGGTAAATTGTAATCCTTGCAGCATTTCCCTATACGCCTAAGTCCAAATCTAATGTGGAGAATATTGTTCAAGAGATCCAATTTCATTCGATTTCTCAATTTATCTTTAACTATATTCATTTGGCTAAAAACCCTTTCAACGTCAGCATTTGAATGTGGCAAACATAAAATTTTAAATGCTAGTGTAACCAAATCGAGGAAAGGGTTTTCCCCAGATGCATCTCTATACATAGAAACTTCTATCCAAAATTTTTCAGTGTTATTTTTTTCTTGCCATTCTATAGTATGTATATTCGCCCACTGCATCTCAATATTATTTATATTAAAATCATTGTTTGTAAATTTTAAAGCCAATTCAGTAATAGGTAATTTATTTGATTTTAAGACATTAAATACTGACAAAAAATTCATTTTTTCAAGTGTTTTTAGGTTATCTGGAAGTCTGTTTCTCATCTCTTTTGCTAGCTTTATAAGAAAGGCTGTACATCTATCTTTTAAGACAGCTTTGTCTTCAATCCCGATACCATTAATATGACATGCATTTTCAAATACAAATCCTAGATATGGATTAGGGTCTAAATAATTATCAATATTAACATTTAAATCATAAATGTCTATTTTGGCTGTAGGATTAACTATCATAGTTACTATACTGGCATAGAAATTTTTTAAATCGGATAAGAGTTTTGTTGGATCTGCCGTAGCTGATTCAAACTGCTTATTTGTTTTTTGAACAATGCTTAAAATAGGATATATAAATGTTAAATAAACTAAATTATTGGGATCATTGTACATTGAATGTAACAGCTCTGCAGTATAGCAGTTATCGCTTAAGCGAACAATGTTAAAATGATCCCTCAATGTTTCCCATTGATCTTTTATTCTTTTAACAGCAGGTTCTATAGAAATCCATCTAGTTTCACACATTTTAAGGAACTGTAATGGCATATTACCATCATTAAGCGTTTTATATACATTTTGATATGCTAATTGCCTTATTGAAGAAGAAGCAAACCAATTGTATGTTTCTTTAATTATGAATTCCGTATTTCTCGGTAATGTATGTTCTGTTGCCTTAGATAGTGCCAATTGTAATGAATGGCATACACATCTAACTAGAATTAAATGGGGTACTTCTTCTTTAAGTTTGGCAAATACACCATTATTTATTCCCACCATTGTTGATGCATTATCAGTACCTATACCTTGTAATTTTTTCAAATCAAGACCATAATCTTGTTGCAATAATGTCTTTATTGCTGAAACAATACAGGCCGCAGTGCCATTTTCAATGTTGACAAGTCCCAAAAATGTGGATACCGTTTTCTTAAGGTCATCACTTTGATATCTGATAACAATACCCAATATTTTTAGTACTGAAATATCAGTAGACTCATCAATAATGATACTGTATGGACTGGTACCAATATCTTGTGTTAGGATTTGTTGAAAATGCTTGCCAATAATATTTTTAATAATTTGAGTACATTTGGTTCGATGAACACTAATTCCTTCGCTGGACTCCTTGTGCAAATCACTTAAATGATCTACACTATTTATGCTTGTGTGAACAGCAGCATAGAGACACAATTGTGCTTCTTTTCTTTGTCGGTTAGTTACAACACTGATCGGTACAAATGGCAAAACTTGTTGTCGTTTTGTCGAAAAGGGCTTTGCACTTTGTATGTGCTTAGTAGTTTTCGAATGTTTATATAAATCAGCTAGCTTCGCGTTAAGAAGAACTTTGCAGTATTTGCAGTTTGCTTTTGTATTATCACGAGAACTATTTTCTAACCATCCCTCCAGATCTTTAAGTTTCTCCCATTCTTTCCGGTATTTTTGAGGGTAAGATTTTGGCACTACAAAAATACCTAAAATAACCATTACATGTGGTTGGTAAATATACTTACTTTTTTACAGAGGTATTTATTCCAGATTGAATGTAAAATGTTATGATCGTTTTAATGACTATCAGTTAGTTGCTATGGATTTTCAAATTCAAATTTTACAATTTACAACTCTCAACAATGTCAAAATTCAAAATTTAGGTCTTTTACTTTTATGTTCGATTGTGCAACCACTAACTAATCTTCTCTTTTTTGATGCCAGAATATGACCTACTACTACGCTCATTATTATTATCATCATTCATGATATGTAAAAGTCACCAGATAATAGCTATAGATATTGGCGAGAAAACGCTAGGATTGAGACACGTCTCAAATTTGAATTCAAAGTCGCAACAAGACTTCTGAAATCGCTAGATCTAGCTACAAAATCGCTAAATTGGCAACACTGGTTTGTTGTAATTAAATTACATAATCCTTATTCTTTTATGGCCTGCACATTACTTGAATTCAACGATATAGACAGTTTACAGTGATGCCAGACATATTATTTGCTTGTTAAAAACGTACACGTCTTAAAAAACGAATACTCATCGAACGTCGGTCAAGAATATAGATTACAAAAACTACTCGCTTTTCAACCACTCACTTTCGAAAACGGTTCGTTTTTTTAGCGATTGTCGAGGATAGCCGCCCAGGATAGCTATTCACTAAGTCATGGGAGCGCTCCCATGGGAGTGCTCCCATATATTTTGCTCTCTTACTCTTAGGTGGGTATATCGTGCTTACTCACTTTTAGCCCAGGTACATGCATAGTAAGGTCAGATTTTATACTATGGAAGGGAGAATTGCGGGCTTGCCAGATTAGGTCCGTATTTATCACAAAGCAAATTTGAACTACTAAGGGCCGATTCAGTTAAACGGAGATTAAAATGACATTGTTAATGTAAAAATGTAATTTTAAACTTCGTTTAACACAACGGTGGATCGGTCCTTAAATACCTAGTAGATCAAAGTTATTCTGTCGACTTGGCAACGTTAACATGGGAGTATGGGAGTGTGGGAGTGCTCCCATGAGTTAGAGAATAGGTATCCAGGGGGTCGATTCTCGACTCGTAGGAATTTTTTCCTATAGGAATTTTTGACATTTTTCTACACATCGGAAATTTATGACATTTGTCTACATGTAGGAAAGTGTCACAAATTCCTATAGGAAATGGTTCCTACAAGTCGAGAATTGACCCCCTGGGGACAAAATCCAATGCTATATAGTCATATAGATTGCTCATTCATAAGAATTATTTATTGTTTATATTATTTTTCAATAAAATTTGACTATTGTCGTGTATTGTCAAAATTTATCTACGATCACAGAACACTTACTCTTCTACGACCAGTCACTTTTCACGGTGTTGTTTTTAGTTTTTTATGGTTGAGCAATATTTATTACTATATACATCATTGGTGTCATTGTGTGATCTGAATTATAGACTGTCGACGTCCCCTGGGCACAGAAGCGCCATCTTAATTGTATACATATTGAGGGACACTTTTTGTATACAGAGATTGTTCTCCTTTCCTCTACCCTCCATAGTACTATCATACTGAAGTTAAAATTTCAGTCAAAACTACTTGGGGTCTGTTCGTTTCGTTCCAACTTTCAACAACGATCAGAAACCAGTCATTGACACCAGGATTCTGCGCAGTAGTAGATTATTAGGGCCGCTAAATTATATACGGCGCAGAATCCTGGTGTTAGTAGGGAGTTTTAGCAAACAGCCGCTAACCATCCGCTAACGTTACCTTAGGGATAGACTGTAATCTACTCCGTTCAATGTTTATGGAAAAGGTCACAATCTAAGTTTAACGTAACGTTAGCGGAAATCTTACGTACATTTGCTAAAACTCTCTAATGACTGGTGTCTGATCGTTGTTGGAACATACCTTTGGTATACAATAGGAACCTTTGGAATTTCTTTTATGGTTCATGAAGAGAGTCAATTTATGTATCACATGTGATACACATGGAACCAAGGTATTGATGGCCAACTGCCTATTGTACAACCCGTCCTTGGCCAATTTAAATGCGAAACACAAAGCAAAAGTTTAGACAGTCAATTAAAAAGCTTAAACAACCGAACAACCTACCAATTACGGAACGCAGCAGCATCGACATTGACATTTGATTAACGACAAAAATGACATTTGTCATTTGTCTACATTTCAAAAACGAATAATTTGAAATGTTTTGATATTTGAATATCCCAATGGCACAAGAAATAATCCAGAAAAGACTGACTTCATTAGCCATTACTAGTAGAATTCTTGTGTTACTCCTTCAGTTCTCCAGTAATATTATAATTCCAGATCACAATGCTCAAGTGTTTCAATTCCTAAGAACTGAAAGCAGAGGAAGCTGGGTATCCACGTTTTTAAACTTTACTCTTGGTGGATTTATTAGATGGGATGCAGAATATTTTATGCACATAGCTAAATATGGATATACTTTTGAAAATAGTTTAGCATTTTTTCCTTTGTATCCGACTTTAGTACGAATTTTTACAGAAATTCTTATTTATCTCGTTCCTTCACTACATTTAGATACAACTTTATTATTAATATGTATTTTATGTAATATCGTCTTTTTTATATTGACCGTTAATGTATTTTATAGACTTTCTTTATTAATTTTTGATGAAACTATTGCCTACAGAGCAGCAGTATTATTCTGTTTTAACCCAGCATCGATATTTTTTACAGCACCATACACTGAATCTTTATTTTGTTATTTAACGTTTCAATCAATTTACTATTCTATGTTATTACTTCAAAAATATTCCAAACCAAATAATTCATTCAGTGTTGCAGATATTAGAGTAATATTTTTTATAAGTCTTAGCACTTTAGTTAGAGCGAATGGTTTACTCAATATAGGATTTTTGATTTATACTATATTCTGCATATTTATTACATATTTTCCTAAAACTATTTCCAATAGAGTAAGGTATATTTTCAAATATGTGTGTATTATATTTATATCTTTTATCATTTGTTCACTGCCCTTTATTTTATATCAAGTTTACTGTTTTAAAGAGTTCTGCACTACACACAAAGTAGACTTACCAGTTGAAATAATACATTTTGCTTCTGAACAAAATTTTGTCTTGCCTGGGCAGTTTGCAAAGTTTAACCAATCTTGGTGTTACCAGAAAATACCTTTAGCTTACTCATATGTTCAAGATCATTACTGGAATGTTGGGTTTTTAAGATATTATGAGTTGAAACAAATTCCTAATTTTTTATTAGCAACACCATGTTTATATATTGTTATAAAAAATTGCTTGGTACATTTGGATGTAAATTTTAACAAACTTAAATCTATTTTTGACTTAAATGAATTAGTAACTTATTCACAAAAGAAAGAAAAGTATTTTAGTAAAGACTTTTTTAAACTAGGCCTAACTGCATTTGTTGTTCACGCTTTGTTCTTGTCAGTTTTTTCTGCTTTTTGTATTCATGTTCAAGTTTCGACTAGAATGATATGTTCAGCTACTCCTCTGTTTTATTGGTATTGTACATATTACTATATGAATGGTAAAAATAATGTTATTAAATTATATTTTGGAAGTTATGTAATAGTAGGTACTGTTATGTTTTGTAATTTTCTTCCATGGACCTAACAAATATATTGTGTAATTATTAAGTAATGCATTTTTAATATTTAACATACAAAATTCAGTCAATACAGTAGGAATTTATATGAAGCATTTTGAAATAATATTATTGATATTTCAAAATGTTGAAAAGGAAAAACATCTGAAAATAATAGTTTCAAAAATTATCGTTTTATATTCAGCTTACTTTTTGTGGTGGTTAATAAATCAAGATACCTAAAATCTGTGTAGCTGAATTTAATTACAATTTAGTAATATAAATAATACAATGCTGGCAAGATCAACCCTTTGGTCCTGCTTTACTTGTGTTAGAGTGAATACTTACGCCCGTATGCACCGTACAAGTTTAATCCAGATCAAGGGTTTAATCGCGTTTAGTACCATAGCTAAACATGGTACTAAACGCGATTAAACCCTTGATCTGGATTAAACGTGTACGGTGTTAATGGTGCTTACACAGTATCAATGTTGCCATTGATAGGTCGAGTCAGCAGTGTGCTACCCATGGTGACTGAAAATATTGATACCACATCCTTTCTTCTCCTGCACCATGCAAACGCCATTTACTATTCACTCCAATACAAGCATAGCTGGACTTAAGGTTTGTTTTTGCCAGCACTATAAAGCAATAGGTACAATAGAAATATCAAAATTGTTAATTTGTTCTCTAATTATTTGTGTAAAACTAATTTGTATCCATACAAAAGTGTGAACAAAAAAATTATTAAAGGATAAAAACATTTTTTCTAATAAAACACTATTTGGTAGAAAATACTGTCATTTATTAGGTAAATTCCACAAAACTGTTTTGCTTTTGTGGAGTCAAATCTGAATTTGCGATCAAAAAAAAAAACCAAAAAATGAGGACTACAATAATTATGTAAAACCCTAGTAAAAGACGATTTCGATAAGCTAATCTCAATCTAGTATAATATTTAGCAATAATATGATTAATAAAGATATAAAGGTGTATGTACTTCTACTAGTAATAGTATAAATCAACTAAAAGCTATACAAGGTGACCCAAAATATTTTTTTTTCTACTAACAGACGAAATCAAAGTATGGTTGAATCCACTGATCTGTATTATTTTACTGGATAGGATATAGCCCCCTAAAAAACGTTCCGAAAAATTGGCCGATTTGGGCAAATAATATGGCGGACCGGATGTTATTTAACGTAACCTCTATTTCCATTTGTCATCACATTTGTCATTTAATTGTGTCAACAAGCTACGATGAGATGTTTTTATTGTGGAAAACAAAGTATGAAATAAACAATAAACGTTCATTCCTGAAGACACAATATGCTTCACGTTTCCATTTTTATATTTTCTTACATAAAAAATCAAATCATGGGTGAAATTTCCCGAAGGACATCGCCCGCAAAAGGAATAGAAGAAGAATAAGAAGAAAAACTAATCAAATTATAGGTTAGGTATGTCAAATTATCCCAAATTTCAGTTCTGTGAACCCACCATAATTTGCCCAAATCGGCCAGCATTGTTGCACTTCCGGTCTCCTTGGTGGAATGATTTTTTAGTATGTTAAATATAGCCTATATCCTATCCAGTAAAATAATACAGATCAGTGGTTGAATCCTAAGAATGAATGTACCTACATAATCATATCATAGCTTATCATTTTAAGTTAACTGTGAAGAGACTAAAATATAGTTTGTAAAAGTACTGCTAATTACTACAGTAAAACTATGTATAAACAATTGACATGACAACTTAATTAGCAAAAAAGGATTGTCTTACCATCTCACAAAAGTTAAATTAAATAGTTACAGATTTGAGCATAATAGTATGTAGACTTAAAACAAAATTGGGTAATTTTATTAAAGGGATATTCACTTTATCCATGTCCAAAAAAATATTTAATTTTCTTTTCTATTATCCCTCTAAAAAAAGCAGGGTTCAGAGGATATATTTCAAGTGATATATATCACGATATATATCATGATATTTATACCTTGATATATATTCGATAATTTTATTTATTAAGTTAAAAATGTTTTCCACTATTCTGAAAATCCGAAAATGTCTCAATACGCCCTTGTATAAAAGTATAATAACTAGCAATTTACATGTGTTTGTGTTAAAATATTAATGTTAATAAAATAATGTTAAAATCTGTTTATTTTATTAATTATTTTTGTTTTTCTTTTTAATTTGAGTTAGAATAAACAGTTTTGTTGTTTAGAATATAGGTTTTTGTTAATATGTTTGTGTTAAAATTTAAAATATAGTTTGTGCAAGAAACAAAACTATTTTTTAATTAAATAAATAAATTAATTTTAAAAATGATATTTATCATGATATTTTCGAACCCTGAAAAAAAGGCAATTTGAGGAGTTCTAGAGGTTCAAACAATTTATTTTGAATTTTTTAATACATTTCAACTGTAAACATTTTAAAAATGCATAAGTTTGCTTAAAAAAATACATATTTTAACAAGTAGAATACTTGACACATTTGGTACAGTATTCATTAGAAAACTAGAGAAGATTAATAGCATTAAAAAATAGTATTAAGACAAACAATACATATGTAACTAGAGATAGTAGAGATGAAAGGATGGGTTCTAAGAATGAGTTTGATGAAAAAGTAGGCAATACCTATGTAGGTAGTAAATAAGAGTTTGTTAAGACTACTAATTTATGAACTAGTTACAGTAGGAATAGTTAAACGACAAAGATTGGGATGATTGGGCAAGAATAAAACCAAACAAGTTCTTAAAAGTCATTAATACCCTGTAGACTGGATATTTTTATTTAATAAGTCACCTTGTTCTTAAAGAATCTAGTTTCAATAGTACTGGCAACATTACTAATTATAAATCTTCTTAACTCTGATTTTTAATTAAAAAGAATATAATCATTGAGTTATAAAATACTAGTTCAAAGTCGTGAATCACATTTTTGTTTTAATTACAAAAAAAAACTTTTGGCAGTGGAAAAGTGAATAGCCCCTCAGTATGTCCAATGTCTTCATTTTTAAAGATTTGTATTCTTTCATTTTCTTTTCACTTCTCAACTATTAATAGAATCTTATCTTATAGGTATGCATTAATGTCTACAAACATTAATTCTTAAAATCAATATAGGTAAAATGTCGCAAAAATTCTAGGTCACCATGTACAGCAATCACACAATCACTCAATAATCAATAAAAGTGCTATGATTGCTGATGTTTCACAGAATTCATCTGATGTTTTCTCCTTCCCCAATATCCCTCTAAATCGAAAGGTTGAAAGTCCCTCAAACGATGAGACGTTTCATCTTGGTAGTACCTAGCAGAATTCAACCCCCTGTCCATTTCGATTTTCGTCCAAGAATCGTAGATATATTTAATCAGATCATCGTGTTGAGCGTGAACGGGTCGTTCGTTGGAGTTCATACGAGCAACATTTGGAGGTCGACGACTGTTTCCATTTATTTGTTGAGACATACCCATTCGAGGTCCACTAAAAACAAACATCAAAACATAAATATGGAGCAATGATATATCAATATTTTATGTTTACCTCATATTTCAGGTCAAATTTGATCGAATAAAGTGTCGATCATAAAATTAATTACAAGAAAAAATGATTTTATGCATTAAAAAGTGATTAATTAAATTTTCATAACTCTCATCTTGAAATGTTGACAAATTGTCAAAGTGACATTGACGCGACGCCAGGAGGCCATCTTGGATAGGTTCGACTATAGCTTTAACTAAACTAGAAAAACACAAATTTTATTTTGAATTTAACAAAATAATGAATTCCTTAAAATTAATAAATTTAAAAAAATACGCTGAATTGAAGGAACTAGTGCTCCTAGTGCTATCTATTACTTTTTTACCGATTGACGTCCTAAGTACCTAGCATTTGATCTTGTATAGCAATACGCCGTGTTTGCCCAGCAAAATGCTGTATTTGCCAGCAATTTTCCGGCAATGTAATACACAATTTTGTCTAGCTATTCGCTATTATTGTCCAGCAAATATAATATGTAAAACATAATTTTCTGAAACATAACAAATGTAGCAAAAAAAGCCGTCTAAGTTTCTATATGAATTCATGATTTACTTGTTCGCTGTTTTTGGGTTTATCTTTAGATTGAGGAGTTAAAAAAGTCCTTACCTCTCGCGTCCAGCATTGGGTCAAAAGAAATATGGTCACCATAGGTTAATCGGACGTCCTCTGCGAAAGTAGAGACAGTTTGTCACAACTGATCTCAAACAATCTAAAAGGGTGGTTTCAGAGTCTGACAATCTGACTAGTACTGGAATAATGATGGAACGTTCGGAAGAGTAGAGATAATTAAAATATCTGTAAAAAGAAGACAAAAAGTCAACAAAGCGCCGAGGGCCGATAGATTACGTTTGGCTGTATTATACAGCATTTGATCTTGTACAGTAAATCGCCGTATTTGCCCAGCAAAACGCTAAATTTGTTCAGTTAAACGCAGTATTTGTCCGGAAAAACGCCATTATTGTCTAACAATCTAATACATAATTTACTGACACGTAACAAAAATGTAATACATGACTTTTGTATTTATCTTTGGGAAGCTAAAAAAGGTCTTCTAAATTACATCTGTTTTTGTACTTATCTTTGGGGCTAAAAAATAAATAAATAAAAAGTCCTCACTTCCAGGGATTTTGACATGTCCAGCGTGGTCCAGCGTTCGCGGAGCACTTGTCAGTAATACACGACAAGTTACAGACAAGTCAAAACAATCAGCAAACTAGCGTGGACAATTTGTCAGGATAAGCGTAATATGGTAAGTAAAAGCATTGTATAAATATATTTATACAATGGTAAAATAATGCAAAATTGCGTTAACGAAGAGAAAAAAGGAAAGGAACAAAGATAAATCGTTGTTTGAGTTTTTAATTATGCAGAATATTCCAATAAATTATAAAATTGAATGATTGAACATAAAAAATTAAACAATTAAAAACTACATTTTTACTATGCAATGTTTTTTATATCTATTCTAAAAACTATCTTCACAACTAAACTCTTCTGTCTCACTTTTAATTTGCAGTTAAAGTGTATGATAGTAGTCATTTTGTTACAAATCGCAGTTTCACACAAATGTTTCTGATTATCAGTGACAAGTCTGCGAACAAAGTTATAGATGGCGTAGAGTGAAAACCTTCTATCTCAATTTTTTTTTGAAAATATTTTTATTAATGAATACTTTATAAGCCATTAAAGGAATAAATCTGGCAGCCCCACAAAGCACTGCTTTGCGGGCAGCCCTGTCTCAAAAGCGGCGACTTCCAGAGATCCAGAGAGAGAGTGTTCTGTGTTCCAGAGAGGAGTACGAGTATTCATTACATTGCATGTGACGCAAGAGTCGTTTTATCTGTCTTCTGTAAAATTTGCTATTTTGGACATACCAGGGCTGGTATATCTACCAGCCCTGGGACATACGAGGTTTTCACTCTACGCCATCGCAGTATCATTTTGTTTTTATTTTTAAAATACATAGGTTATAACAGTTATTTCATTATTTACTTGCTCATCATGCTGTAGAAGGTCTTTGGTATAAAGTTGGTATCTTTCTACTGACAATTGACACTAATGATAGGCAGGCAGAGGCAGATGACTTTTATATAACCTATATTCATCAGAAAAATATCAAAAAGTATGTAAATAAATTAAATAAAATTAATTAATGTTCCCATACTTATTCCAGCTTTATGATTTTAGAAAATTTTCAATTAAATGAAGATAATCGAATTTTCAATGTCACAGTATTTCATTTAAACAATCATGGATAGAAGTAGCAGTTTCCCATATACCGCTGAAGAAAATTATTATAATAATCCAGATTTAATCAGAAGATTGCCAGTTCATGATGACGACGTACCTAAAACAACGCCATATCTAGATTATACTAGCTATGCAGTACCCGAAGAAGTTAAAATCAAGAGATACATAGGATCAGGTGTAACATTCATAAGTTTAGTTGCAGAGAATTTACTTAGCCATCCATTTGTAGTACTCAGAAGACAATGCCAGGTGCATCAAAATGCACAAAAATACCACTTACAACCTTTTACTTTACTACCTGTAATGTGGCGATTGTACCAGCACCAAGGAGTTACTACTCTTTGGAAGGGAGTAGGATCAGTCTTACTAGTTAGGGGCATGTCTTTGGGTGTTGATGATTTAATTTCGAAGGTTACACCATGGCCAAAAGAAATCAGTTGGCACAGTAGCCTTAAACAATTTTTTCAACATACTTTATTAAAATCTGTTAGTTTAGCTATAGTTACGCCATTTTATTCAGCTAGTTTTGTAGAAACGGTTCAATCAGAGATAGCCAGTGAGAAACCGGGTATATTAGATGTATTTAGAGAAGGTTTTATGAGACTGTTACATTGGGGGTCACCATCAAATGGACGCATGTTACCAATATGGGCTTTAATTGTTCCCACAATTACTTTAGGTTTAGCTAAATACATGTTTTCTAGTATAGTTAGAAGTATTACTCTGAGAATTTTAGCTGCAAAGCACATTGCTAGGTATGAGGAAAATGGTGCTTTGCCTAAAGACCCTTATAATTCACCTGCCATGCATGATATCCAACTTACGGCTTCTATAGTAGGGGCTATATCTAGTGATATTGTTTTTTATCCATTTGAAACTGTTATACATAGAATCCATCTACAAGGTACAAGGACTATTATTGACAACTTAGATACAGGCAAGTCAGTGTTGCCAATTTTAACAAACTATTCTGGTGCACTTGATTGTTATGAAAGTTCTATTATAAACGAAGGTATAAGTGGGTTATATAAAGGTTTTGGAGCCCTTATTCTCCAATATACAGCCCATGTTGCTTTATTGAAAATGTCTCATTGGTTTTTGACGCAAATAGGCAACCTTGTACAAACTCCAAAGAACAAACCAGTTGAGGATGATGCTCTTAAGATTTCACCACCAGCTATTTCTAATTTCACTGCTTCCAGACGGTCCTACTTGCTGCCTTGAAATTGTAGGCATAGGAGTAGTTGGTCCTGGTGTGTTTTTTAATTTTGTTAAATCGATATAGGTAGAAATCTAAATTGCAAACTAACCTAAAGAAAAAATAAAGAATGATTTTAATATAATAGAACAATTTTTATTACTCTACAAAATTAAGGTTCTTCAAATTCTCTTTTTCTGATTTTGTAATGTCTAGGTTTAATCCAGCAGCTTTATTTTTTAATTGTTTATATTTCAGATTTCATGCTGGTCTTCTAGTAGAACTTTAGATTGAACAATTTTTATTACTATGCAAAATCTAAGGTTTTCAAATTGTCTTTTTCTGATTTTGTAATATTTAGGTTTAATCCAGCAGCTTTTTTTAACTCTGACATCTCAGATTTCATGATGGTCTTCTAGTTTAACTTTAAATTGGATAATTTGTTATGATAACTTTTCTTGTATTAAAAAAAAAATGATTGTATAATATTTTTACAATCATTAACATCGTAGAGAACTTTATTTTATAAAATAATAAAATATTTTTTTTAACATTACAAATAATTAATGTTAATTTCTATAATTTTACTTATTTCAGGATATTGAATTATATTTTTTTGTTATAAAAATCTATTCAATATAATTTTTAAAAATAATTTGTGGGAAAGGTTTTTAAACTTTATAATAAGGGCCTGTATTGAAAAACTGTAAACAGAAGTTAGTTCAAAATTTAGAACATTTTTTTATTTCACTTTTATAATATGTACTTATACACAAACCTTTACTATATTAATAATTATTTTTCCGTCTGATTTATTTAAATATTGATAATTTAATAATTATTTCAATATAGAGAAAAATTAAATTTTTTAGTCAAATTCATCTATCTGTTAACTCTAAAAATATTAGTTTTTTAACAAGGAACTAGAATTTTAACACAGTTCTGCTATACTCTACCAACCGGTTGCAGTATTAGACAGCAGTGAATGTGTTGAAGGAAAAAATTCAATCTAAAAAATAACAGTATTGTTTTTTTATATTTAAAGTTATTTAGAAAAATAAATGGTTTAGTCCTTTAATAACACTTGGAAAGCTGTAAGTACGTGAAAGCTTGATGTTTGGGAAGTTTATATGATAATTTTAACACTGTATATTCTAGTCTCTTCCTTCGTTCAATGAAAAAGGCAGTAAATTATATTCTTATGTAAATAATTACTATAAGATAGAAATATGTAGGCTATTTATAACTTATAAATAATTGATTGTTATAAAATATACGTAGTTGTGAAATTAATATAGAATTTTATTTTTAACTACCCTGTAAGGAAGTTCGTTCTAAATTATATGAGTATACTGGTCCAAATAGATATTACACATGTAGTACCATTATAGGTTCTTTCATTCGCTGTTGTTGCAGTGTCCACCAGTGTAAATTACACCAGTTACACCACCTTATTTTTTACCTAGTTTACTTCCTTCTTATTCCTGATACACATGTTGAGTGTAATTCACTCCTTCTAAATAGCAGGTGGAGAAAATATCCACCATTGTGGATACCACATCGCCGACAGGAAGGTGTAGTGGATTTTACACCGGGCCAAACGTGTGCGTTGGTGTAATTCATTCCTACACCATTGGGACGAACGAAAGAACCTTATTACACTACACCGAGCACAATTATAAAGAGTGAATCATTCTCTTATCCAGAGTTGTCACAATTACCATTGCAAAGTAATTGAAGAACCAATTACTAGGCAATCAAAAAACTATGCAAATTACTATTTACTTTAGTTTTTCAATGATCAATTACTCATAAAAGGAATTGAAAATGTTCAATTATAATAAATTCAATTGCTTTTACTAGAGTAATTCAGTTACTTTATCTGCGTCAAATACCTTTAAAGTAATTGAATTATTCCATTACCGATGCGTTATTAAATTACCGAAAAATAATTAAAAATTTTTCATCAATCAATTTAATAAAAGCCTATGTTAATCTTAAGAATAATATATTATATTATAAAAACAATGATGGTTTACAACATTTCTATGTTTACAACAGCGTAATCTCTTAATTAATTATTTAAAAAAACGTCTTTTTCATAAATAATGAAGTTTGCCTTTATAAGTACCAGTTGCTCGAAGTGAATATCAGATAGAGCATGTCTCTTTGGAGCATTAATGATTTCTGCAAGAGAAAACAACCTTTCTACCGGGGCCGATGAAGGAAGGCAAGTCAATCTTTTACTTCAAAGAAATCATCTAATTTTGTTTGGTTGGTCTCTTCTTGAAGCGTGTTTTCCGTATAAGTTTTCCATTGGTGCTGCTCCAGAGCGATTCAAAAATAAACAATGTTCAAAAATGTCCACAAAGACTTCAGAAAACTCAAAAGTGCAGTGAAAACCGCACGTCGATATCTTTTCAATCTAGAATAATTATAAAGTTGCTACAAAGTGTTACTTTATAGTAGGACACCTTGTATGCAAGGATTTTGGTGTATTTATTTTAAAACGTTTGCTAAAATAATCCTAGTAGTTTAAACTCGAATGTTTTTAATAACTTATTTTTCCATGTAAAATCATTCACCGAAATGCACGCCGGCGCCGGGACAATTCCACACTCGCACTTACGCATGTCGTATGCGTTTTATTTCTACATTGGTCTCTTTTTGATAGAGTAGGTGAGCTGTGTCCAGGCCGTTGGTGTTTATGCCGGTCGGCATAGCCAGGTATGGATTGAAATTTTCAGAGAGAACGAGAAATCGTTGCTTCGTCTTCTTGTTGTCACGGCATTATTATTTTTTCATGTATATGAAATTTGCTTATAAGGTTTATAAAATACTACTGCTAGTCACGGCGTAAATGAAAACAAACAAGACTCATTCACACAAACACCTACACAGCAATTACAAATGATTAGTGTTGTCCCCGATAGGCGAGTCAATTCCACCGGTAAGTCTCGCATAATTTCTGCTAGGAGGCGCTAGCTGACGAATGAATTGAATGCACTTTTTAATTTTACATCTAGAAATCATATTATTATTTTCATCGATATTTTATTAATCCAGTTTATCTAACCCAACCTTTAAAGATGAGAAAAGTTGTTCTGGCTTAACTAGGGTTGCCACCCTGCAATTATGCTCGGAGAGCAAAATGACCTTGTGACTTATTGAAGCTTAAAATGTCCTTTTTACGACAAATGTCTTTTTTGACTGACAGCACATATTTTTGGAAGGGACATGGTTTGTACAAAAGTATACAAGCTAAGGAACTTTTTTTTAGAAGCTCGGCACGACGAGGAGGCTTTTTGGATTTTTTTTTTGTTCAGCTCGACGCATTTTCGGTAAGCTTTTTTTTAGACGTTCACCAGAGATGAGTACTTTTTGTATACCAGAGCCCCTGTCATCATTGTAGTCATTTTTCCACTTTTCAGAAAGGTAACAACCCTAGGCTTAACTACAAACTTCAATTCTTTGAATAAAAAACACATATTTTTTACTAACTTTCCGCACTCCAGGAGTTGATTAAGAATTGAATAATTCAATTCGCAGTGAAGTATATTATAAAATAAAGTTCAGCCAAAACTAGTGAAAACTGCATAATATAAGCTTCTTAATATTCATAAAAGCCAACCACAAATAAACAGAAAGCAGTAACGCACTACAGTTTCCTACAATTTTTAAATTGGAATTGAATATTTTGTGGTAATTGAAATACAATAAATGAATTGAATTACTCCAAAGTACTTAAATTACTATCAAGGAATTGATTTGTAATTCAATTACTCAAATATCTTTAAAGTAATTACCAATTATAATTACTTTACAGAAAGGAATTGAAGTACTAATTAATTCTAAGGTTTTAAAAACCTAATTGAATTAAGCTAATTCAATTACTGAAAAGTAATTTAATTACATTTTCATTTCTTTTAATTCAATTATTTGACAGTTCTGCTCTTATCAGCCGATACGTTACTTGCCTCGACCCTACATATTTATTTCAATACATTTTTTGCATAAAAAGTAAATAAGTATAAAAAGAGAACAAAAAAAAATAGAACTTTTAGGGTGGTTGTGCCTGTCACATGGGTTTGGACCTATCTATTTGGACCAGTATTCGCTCGAATCCGTGCGTGACAGCAGCGCCAATTCATTTTAGGTACTAATGGACTATTTCTGCGTATACTGATAATACAATTTTTAATAGAATTCGTAATTAAAAAGTACAGTTCATCAAATTTCTAGAGGTGTTCGACGCCCAGACAGAGAACGCGCTACGTGTGACTAAGATAGCTATTGTACAGTCTGCTAAACAAGTTATTTTAAATAGTTTTTAATATTTTTAGGTAATTAAATTTTAAAAGTGTGGAATAGTTTAGGGATTAAATTGGTCTGATTGGACTTTCTTAGAACATTTTTAAAAGCAGCTGAAGATAGTATGTAGAATTGAAAATAATTATTATGCCATAAAAGGTGTTTTGGAATTCCTTCAACCTTTTGAAATTGAGTCAGAAAATATAAATTTTATAGGATAGCGGAAAATACCTATAATTTTTTTGTAGGCCTTTGTAAATCGTGGAAATAGTTTATATTTTATTTCTACCTTATTAAGGAAAATGGTCTATTATTAATAACGGTTGTTTCTGAAACATTACTAAAATTTTCGAAATTTTGTTTTTCTACAAAATAATAAACTATACTATTTAGAAAAAAATTTATTTCTCTTATAATTTTATAAAAAATAACAGGGGAATATTTACATTTCTTGATCTATTAAACAAAACGATAAATTATCTCGACGAATGACACCATGTTCTAGTACGGAAGCTAGCTTTACATTTTTGTTGGTGGTTTCATGGGTTTCATATCAATTTTTTGTAATTGTAGTTTACACGTACATATACCTCTTAACACTTATTTGCTTTATTAAAAAAGTGTGTTGTTGTGATTTACGTCGAAATAAGTCAAAAACAACTTGAAACCCCATATAAAATCAAAAAGGAGAAACGGAAAAAAATTGAGCCTGTAAATGAACACAACTCAGAAACAAAAATAGCTATCTAATAATAAAAAAATAAAATTTGATTCTTGTGCAGCTTCATCTATATCATTAACTCTTTTTGGTTTTTTAATGGTTTTTCTTGGTGATGAAAATTCCGATATCTCACGGTTATCGATTCTTTTTTTCTCTCCAGAAATGCGGACGACAGTGTTTTTAGATACTCCTGTGGCTGCAGCAACACGATCATTTACATTTTTAAATGGTATTGAAGGTGAATTAAAGTTTCCTTCTCTTCTCATAAACTCTATAACATTGGCTATTATTTCGCGAGATTGACTGTTAATCACGCGGCCTCTTAATTTGCTATTAAACTCCATACTTAGGTTCTATTAAACTGTAATGAGCAAAAAACACAAACGAAAATAAAAGAAATGTTTTAGCGAAATTTACATCTGACATTTACGTCTGAATGAAATAGTGAAATACTTGATGCGCAGAGTGTACTTTCATTGCGTAAATCCGTCGGGATGCCTGTCAGTAGTGCTTTCTCTGTCTAGCCGTCGAAAGCCTCTAGAAATTTGATGAACTGTAGATTACAATTTGCTGAGGCTTTTTCGCATATTTCATTTTTAATATAAACACTATCACACACTATAAGAAATAATGGTAGTTTATGTTACAAGGACGAAAACACTTTTCGTCCGTATTTGATACATTGTTTTTTATTCGAATCTGGTTAAATATTAAAAAAATATATATAGAAAATTAAATCTGACATGATATCATTTCCAATAATTTTTCCTTAACTGAGTTGGCTACGAGAACAATTGAGGAGCTTTGGAGCAAAACCGAATAAATCCACTTTTTATGAAAATGAACTTAACGGCGGATTTCAACTTATTTTGTTAAATTACATCTTTATAGACTACCTGTCCGAGCAAAACCCAATAAATCTTTGTAAAATTCAGAGTCGAAATTGATGTTTTTGTGCAAGACCACTAGTAAATTGTTGTAAACAACACATCGGCATTCGCTGTAGTTTAAAAGCAGTTTGAAAGAGATTTCTTTATTTTGATTTGTTTTTTCTCTTATATTATAGTGCGCGTAGTTTTGAATTTTGATTTGGGTAAAACCATTTCTTTTTGTTAAATTATAATTGCAAACGATGTATTATTAATGACGTCTCTAATAGTATTGTTTTAACAAAACAAACGAAAAAACCAGTACTTTTTGTGCAATTGGAAAATCTTGATTTCCCAAAAATTGTTTATAGTGGATCCATTCGGTTTTGCTCCAAAGCTCCGAGCAATTACTACTGCTCGGAGCGCCAAAGCTCCTCAATTGAACAATAATTTCTGTCGTCAATGTGCTTATGTCAAATTAATTTAATTAACTGTTTTAATGAAAATTGGTGTCAAAAAAATTACAAAAATAAGTAGTGTCGAAGAATTCATTACAGGCACGTCCCCAGAAATTACAGACGCGGCAAATGTGGCGTTTCTGAATTTGATTAAAAAAAAATCCAAAATGGTGTATGAAAGAACCTACCTCAGATTTGAGAATTCTAATCGGTATACAACACTTTATACACTTATAGACTTATAGGCCATGGCCAATGAACTGGCCAGTTCATTGGCCATGGCTACTGATCTGTTCCCATAATGTCAAAATCTTATAGGGAAGGTTGGACGGGGATGGCGGGGTGTCAAAAACAATCAAGAATTAGGCATTCCAATTCCAAACAAATGAATTACCAGTGGGCAGGTTTGGTATATCTAAGGGTGGCGACATATGGTGTATTCTATCTACTTTACGTAAAATCATGAATAATGGATTACATTTAAATATTTTATGTCAAACACAATAAAAATAATATTTAAAAAACCCATCTATACATTTCTTCATAAATTGGCAGGCTTGGCGAGTACTACTTCGAATAAAAATAGCGTCCTCCAAGTTGCAAGACTATGTCGCTACCCCCTTAAATATACAAGAATTTCCCACTGGCACCTATTGTTTGACAGGTCGTTGGAATGCCTAATAGTTTAAAATGAAATCTGAAAGGATGAAAAAAGACGTCAACTGTCGTCGTAGTTCTATATAGGCTGTCTCGTTAGTGCATAATTACTTGATATTTCAATTTGTATTACAGACATATGTTTTGAATAAAAGTTATGTGGATTTGAAAAAAATATAATTTAAAAATATTTTTGGATATACAGGGTGTTACGCTTTTGCCTGGAAACTAAAAACATGTTTTTAACTGTATTTATCACTAAAATATTTTTCAACTTATAAGGACCAAGCTGTGATGAAAGCATTGGTTCATTTAATACTGTGTTTTACATATATATATATATATATATATATATATATATATATATATATATATATATATATATATATATATATATATATATATACAGGGTGGCCCATCAGTGGGTAATTGGAGATATGAAGAAATGTTTATTAAAGTTGTAAGACCATATTTTACAATTATGAGGGGAAAACCAAACAGATAGTTTTTTACACCAAACACCCTGTAGTTACTCACGCCTTACAAATTTGGTTGTTTTCACATTTTTTTATAATTTTAATAGACTAAACTTTCCTAAAAATCTATGACATTTTCATTTATTTGCTGTGATGCATACAGAGTGTGTCTAAACTTGAGGTTACAATATTATCAATTTTTTCAAATCTTGTGGGTTATACCACCAATTTATAAATTAATTTCTTCACTTTTTTTATTTTGTTTGGCATTCTATTATCAAACAAATTTTTTCTCAAGATTTTAACGGCTTTAACATGAAAATTGACATTTTTCTAATTGGCTTTTGAAAATATGGACTTACTTAGGGTAAAATGCTAATGTAATTTTTGGTAACCCATTTGTCAGAATTAATAAATTATTTTCTATTCCTTCGACGTTACAATATGAACCATTGTAAATAAAATTTAAAAATCAGTTTAGGCCCAAGAATGCCAAACAAAATAAAAAGTGAAGAAACTAAATTATTAGTTAATTAAATTTGTGGCGTAACATACAGCGCATTTCATTCAATCTTGCGTTTTGACACATCCTATATACAACGTAGCAAATGAATGGAAAGTCAAAACATTTTAAGAAACGTTAAGTCTATTAAAATTGTTTGACGATGTGAGAATAAATAAATTTGTTATACAAGGGGATTTTATTTTAAAACAGTATAAGTTTTTCCACCACTCATTTATGAACTTTTCTGTATACTTAGGAATAATTTAAAAATATGGTCGCACAACTTAAAAATGTCTTTAATAATAAAACAGCTATCGATCAATTACGTACTGATGAGATACCCTTGTATATGTATAATAGGCTAACATGATGGTATCATTAGATAGGTAAATTTATAATGGATTTAATGCTAAAATGATATACAGGGTGTTACATTCAAATTGGGTAAAATGAAGTTAAAATGAGTCATATTTATGAAATGTTTCAAAACCCTCTGTATAAAATAAATTAGTTCCAGCATGTCTATTCGTTAGTTTGGTATCTTATAAGCATGTATTTTAAATAATTTTCAACTCATTGATAAGCTACTTACATTCTGGTAATTTTATTTGGGGTCTGTATTATTTTATATCACAAAAAATTAATTGCTTGGCAACCTTGTAATATTTTTTAAAAATATTCTAGCGTTTTCCCTAAGAATTCTTTTATTAAAGACTTGTTTGCATGTCTATGCCACAAATTGTAATATCGAGCAATTAGGTACCTACATCATTTAATTAGAAGCTGTTAAAATCTTGCTATGTTAAATTCACAAACATAATATCAAAACCAAATTCATAATGCACTAATTTAAGAACGTTTTCACATGCCTACGGGGTTATAAAGATAATTCACTACATAGCGGCTTGTCTACATTCATCGAAGCATACATCTTCGAATGACATTACAAAACGTCATTGGCATGGAGAAAAGATCTATCATGACGGTAATGAACGTCATGGGCAGCGGAAGTGTTAAGTAAATAGAGTATGATTACATATTGCTAAACACAAATTTCGCCACATAATACCACGCTACTCCTGGCAATCACTAAAAAAAGTCCTACTTATAGACACCTTTTACATATTTCCTCCTACTTAGCTTGAATCGCGAATATGTGAGGCCTACGTAGTTGGATTTGGACGATTTATAAACGTTGCTTCTCTTATAATATTACTTTACTCACTCAATAGTTCTGTTCAGTTATTATAAATAAATATCAATTACCATACTGGTTATAAAAACTTTATTTAGATATCTAAAACTTTACATAAAAAGAAACTTAACAATAAATATACGCTATATATCACATTTTTATAAATTACGAGACTTGTTTGACGTAACCTTAACGTCGTTCTCCACTGCAGGTAATCGTTCTTCAAAGATCACTGACAAAGTTTCAGTTGGATCTAAGCAGAATTAGGAAAGACTATGAAACAACAGCAATGAAATGGCTATAGGATGTGTGTGAATGACAAAATGGAATACTGTAATAAATATAATGAACTGAGTACCAACTAAGATGATATAAGAAGAGGAAAACCTAGATCACAATGACTTCAAATCTAAATATTACTTAGAGCATGGCAGGAATTTGGAATGCAAAGGATATGCATTTTTAGCAAATCTCCTACAATCCTAATAATTATTAGAGCACAAGACTCATCAGTCCGTTTCTGATGTAGCAGACAGCATTTTCTGTATCTGACTGAAGCTTTTACCCTTTGTTTCCGGCAAGTAAAACACACTGAAAGTACCACACAGTAAACACATAGACGAAAAGAACCAAAAAGTCCCGCAACGGCCCATGGTACTGTTCATATCGTGGAAACTTTTTGTCACCAAAAACGAAGATATCCAACCGAAACACGAAGCTACTGCCGTAGTCATTTGTTTCATGTTGTTAGGAAACAGTTCGGACATTAGTGTCCAAGGTACTGTACAAACTCCTACATTAAAGAATACTATGTATAAAATAAGGCTAAATATTGGTAACCAATATATCGACTTGGTACTGATGTTTCTGTCATGTAGATAAAAGAACCCAGCTAGTAAGTTTAAAGCTATAAACATACCCGCACAAGAGCATATAATTAAAGGTTTTCTACCTACCTTATCTACCAAAAACGGTGCTATGAAGCTAGACAATAAGAGAGCCACACCTACGATTATAGCAGACAAATCGGGTCTGAATCTGGTACCCGTTGCCTCGAATATAGTTTGTAAATGGTAAGTTATAGCGCAAAAACCTGACAAATCCTGTGTCGCTATCAATATCAAACAAATCAGAAACGATTTCCTCAAAATTTTATTCCTTACAATATCAATTAACCGACCTTGATCGTCCATTCCAATGAACGATTTTATATAATTTAATTCTTCGGCTACCCCATTTTGATCCTTGCATCTTAAGTACATTAAAGCTTTCTCGGCTTCCTTGTCTTTCTTAGCACCTACCAGGTAGTAAGGACTCTCCGGAGCCAAAAAGAAAAATAGAAGAAAGAAAGTAACGGGTATGAAAGCCAGGATAATGTTGAATAAAAATATCGAAGTAAACGGACCTATAACAAACGGTAAAAAGTTTCCTATAGCGCAAAAAATATTGATAGTTAAAGACATTTTGCCTCTGTTACAATCTTTTGATATCTCAGCTATGTAAATGACGTATAAACAGTAGCCGCCCCCTAGAGCCACTCCACCTAAAAATCTAGCTACGTAAAATAAATGTATCGTTTTGGCAAAAGCAAAAATTAGAAATGATAAAATATGAGGTAAAGCTATCGATAGTAGTCCGGTTTTTCTTCCAAACGTTTCTGATATGTATCCAAATGGTAAAGGGCCGATTATAGCGCCGAAATTAAGAAGGGAACCTAGCCAGGCGTCTTCATTCTTGGATATCCGTCGTCCCAGGGGGTTGATTGATGTGTTGTTGGAGTACAATTTCGGGTAGATTGGGGATGTCCATGATAAAGTAAGGTCTCCTGTGGTGGCAAGTAAATCAACTGAAATATAAAAAAAAATATTTGTTATAGCCTCGTTTTTCCTACTACAAGTAGTGTAAGATGAAATACGTTATAGTACAGAATAGGTAGGTAAAAACATCAGCAGGCCCGACTAGAGGGTGGGGTAGCCGGGACTAATTCCCGGGGCCCGGGCTCAAATGGGGGCCCGGCAGCGCTATAAGGGGGGCCCGACAATAGGGTTTTCTGTTTCTGCATGAGAAATTCGACATAAGAAGTGAGGGAAAAAATATTTGGTTTTCTAAAAGATTTTTTGTTACAGGGCCCGATGTAGAGAATTGTCCCGGGGCCCGGCCTGGCTCTCGGCGGTCCTGAACATCAGTTCTATTCTGTGGTTATAGTTGTAAATGAGTACAGTAAGCTCCAACTACGATGATTAGGTAAGCACCACAAAACTAAGCACGAGGTAAGGCTGTGCATTTACAATTTACAATCCTACCGAGGACCCATCCAGGACCAGGGCTGCCAGAATTAAAATGACAAATCGTATTGAAAAACATTTTAAAACGTACTGAATAAAAAAAAAAACTTACTGAAAAACCAAATTTTAAAAAACTATATTTTATGAAAATGTACCGATACCTAAATCGAACAACACCTTAAAAATTTTACCCTATAGGAACAATTGGAACAAGTGATTTGCTTTTATTAAATTATATAATCTTTATGTATAACAAAAAAGTCTTAATCCATTTTATTTTCAGAATTACAACCAACAAACGTGCAATAAATTTCAATTTCAATTAAATTGTTTAATTTATCACACGACTTAACTCTCAACTGTCATCCATCGTTAGTAAAATAAGTCACGTTATTTAAAAAATATCAAAATAGTACTGAAAATGGTACTGAATTGGCTATTTTGTTGATAAAATACGTCACTTTATTCGAAAAATGTCCAAATAGTACTGAATTGACCATTTTTAACCAAAACGTACTAAAACTAACAACGTTACACTCACTGACGTACTGAATAAGTTGAAAAAGTACTGAATTCATTACAATCGTACTGAATCTGGCAGCCCTGTCCAGGATCCACTAGTCAAGGATTTGATTGGTAGCACCACCCAGACAGCACACCAAATCCTTTGGATATCTACTAGACATCCCAATATCCTCTGAATATCCAGTCCATGGTGGATATCTATTTTATATCCATGAGATGTAACTTATAAACATGCAAATGTCCATAAATAATAGTAATTATATAGCAAATTATTAAAAAATTACGCCATTGTGCTCGCCATTGTGGCTAATAGTACCGTTCAGATTTAAAATTAATTTTGTTAAGGTGTATTCAATATCCCATGGATATCCACTAAATATATCAAAGTCTAGGCGGGAACGCAAACCATGGTGGATATCCACTAGATGTAATTTTTTATTTTGCCCACTAAGAAGAAAGTCATTCTTGGACCGGTTTCGTCCTATTATGACTAGAATTATTTCCTTTTTTAAGAATAGCCCGCCTGGCTTTTATTCCATCTAGTCTCTGAACTAGGTACTACAGCGACCTTTGATTTTGCTTACTAAGTATAGATGGCGATACCACTTTTGCTCGTTGAATATCTACTCATGCTCAACCCGCCGTAATTGAGTTCGATCGAAATTGGTATTGCAATCAGACTCCATTAGAGACTGGAGTCGAGACTTTCTATTTATTGCTGAAGGCCCTGAAGGGTCCTAATAAGGATGACTTTCTCCTTAGTAGTGGGCAAAATCAAAGGCAGAGTGTTGAAAATATTTTCTATCTCTGCTATTTTCTTTTGACGTTATTCAATAATCATTGGTTACTTACGAACCTCTACTAAAGATACCCATAAAATATTTTGCTGAATATCAATAGAATATCTTCTATATCCTGGGATATAGACGGACATTTGGATATCCATATGAGATGGACTGGATATATTGGATATCTACAAAATATATTCTGTGGATATCTCTGGGATTTCTTGTATTGTCTGGGAGATACCCATTAGATATTTTGCTGGATATCCATAGGATATCTTCTATATTCTGGATATAGACGGACATTTGGATATCCATATTAGATCCACGGGATATTTCTGATATCCTGTGGATATATTGGATATCCATAAAAGATATTCTGTGGATATCTCTGGGATTTCTTGTATTGTCTGGGAGATACCCATTAGATATTTTGCTGGATATCCATAGGATATCTTCTATATTCTGGATATAGACGGACATTTGGATATCCATATTAGATCCGCGGGATATATCTGATATCCTGTGGATATATTGGATATCCACAAAAGATATTCTGTGGATATCTCTGGGATTTGGTGTGTTGTCTGGGCAACTGATATTTTTAACACAGTGGCGTGGACTAAATAAAGAACTGTGATGTTTGTTTATTTTAAAACAACAGTTTATTTGTTAATAATTTATTTAAACACTTATTTATTTTATAACACTACTATTTCTAATTTATATATATTTCTAATGTCTTTGAATCGTTCACTATTTATATTCACAGTCCAATACTTTATTGTCAGCTGTCTATATATCACTGATTACTATTTATCTTCACTGTCCATATAATACTGACTGACTAACTGCGTTCTCCACCAATATTTATATACAAATTTAAAAGTTTGGCGAATGAGCTAGAAAGGTCACCAAATTCTCTAGAAACCACCAAATTTTCTAGAAACATCCCGTCTTTTCTCGAACATTAATCGAAAAATCTTCCGCCATAGTGTAGGATAATAGGACAAGTTGAGCCTCAAAGGCCAAATAATACTGAGAGGGACTTGGAGTATTAGAGCATGACTGAATAATGAAATGGCTCACATAACAGAACTTAAATTGAAACATAAATATTTTTTTACTAGCGTCTATTTCTTGTGCTTTACAAATGAACCTGCTTCTGTGGCGCCATCTAGTGAAGTAAGGTGAAGTGATAACGACAGCTGTTCAGTTCGTTCGTGCTTGTTAATTTGTTATGTGTTCTGTCAAACTTGGAAAATATAATTGCAACGTTGCCGGATTGTGATAAAATTAGTAGTTAATGAAAAATTGTGATTGCCCATACCGGTCCATAAATATGCTTCGCCGCCACCCTACGATAAGTCGTAGAGTGGCGGCTTTGCCGCCACCAAAAAACATCAACCCATACCTGGCTACGCCGACTGGCATAGACTCCAACGGCCTGGACACAGCTCAAATTGAATAATTGAAATGAAAAGTCTCAAATAAACACATTTATATTCTGGTTTTATCATCTGGCCTGGAGCTATTGAAAAAACAGCCACTGTCATTCCTGTTATGTACGTTCTTTTACTATGTTTGACAACTCCACATTTATAGAAATAAAAATATCATTTGTCATATTATTCATGAACAAAAAATAATGTAGAACGGTATTACTATGAATATATTTATTAAGAACAAATAACAAAAAGCAATTTGCAACATCGCTAAAATTATTGAAACGGCCACTTTTGCGCGCGCTAACTCATTTGAAGGTCAATGCTGGGTTCATTTGTAGAGCACAAGAAATAGACGCTAATTACATTTTTTTGTTATTCTAAAAAGAAACATTTGTGATTACTACACTACATTTTTAATTCAATATTCATTTTCATAAGAACATATAAACTCACTGGTAGTCGTTAGAATCATCTTGTAAATTTATTATAATTGGATGATCGTTTTGATAAGCAACTGTCTGTACTTCTCGTAGTAAATATTCGTTTTTTATTTCAATAAAATTGTTCGCATCTTTTTTAACTCATACAAGTTTGATCGTAGAGAACTCAAATTCTACCAATTTTGTTACATCTTCCTATTTGTATGTGATAGTAGGTAAAAGACACTTAAATCGAATAGAAGAATATATATAAAAGTATCTTTTATCTAATGGAAGATTAGTGAATAAAAAGTGTAGAAAAACACTATTTTGGTATTTGATCTTTAAACCTTGACGCATTTTATTAATCATCCATTAGTGTGTTCAGTTATGTTTAGGCATTTATATAAAAAAACCGAGAACAAATCATTATAATTAGAAATTTAAAATCTACAGCAACGGGCTATCAAATTATTTGCAAAACATTGAACAATCTTCTTTGAGATAACATCCAGTCTAAAATATTAACTTTAAAAAACAGTTCTAAAAATAGATTTCGATGTTGTCTTTGGAGTGGATTTATTTATTTATAAATTAAAAATCTACCAATTTGTCAGAGTAAATAATCTGGAATATTTATACAATTTTTCTAAGAATTGTAAGATATCACATTTAAATGTAGATTCAAACTGCAGCTTTAGAAATACTTCCTTGTATAAGTTGTTTTTATTGTAATATTTTTAACGTCTATCTGAGAATGTTATTATTTTTTATTTATTATCAATAACACGCAAATATACAAACATTTTGTTTTTTGTGTGGGTTGCTTTTGGACAATATATTATAGTCATATCTAATTCAGTAATTGAGACAGCAACATTGTTAGAAATTCCAAATTAACTTTGTAGTTTGTAATTATTGTTAAAACAAAATTAAATAATAGAAACGTGCACGTGTTATAAAATCTAAAATTATTACTTCGAGAGGTTTTAAAGCCTTAGAAGTGTAAAAGCGAACCTATTATATTATATTTAATAAGATTTAATGCCTTTTTTTATCCAAAACAATGAATCCAAGTCAAGACGAATCTTAAATTCAAATAAAATATTAAACGAATATATAATTATGATACTCTCATCATTCACTGTAGAATATCCGTTTATGTCATTAAAACCATGGAGAACTACTATATAGGGTGTTTTTTTAATATTGCGAAAAAATTCAGAGGCGTGTCCCTTGGACGAAATGAAGCAAAAAAGTTCCTATGAACATATGTCCTACGCCTCTTAGATTTTGAACTACAGGGTAGTAAAGTTATAAGAAAAAAACTTATTTTTTTCGAATGTAAAAGTTTAAATTGTGTATCGGAAAATGGCTTTGGATG